CCCCCACTCGCATTCTCGCCGCCCGCCCAGTCCACCGCGCCACTGACTCGTCCTTCTCCCGGCAGACACGCAGCCGGACACCACTCTCCCACGCCTTTGAGGGCAGTTGTGTATTTGTGTGTGCAGAGAGGGGCGCTCTGAAGTTTCAGGAAGAATATCTGAATGGCTTCGTCCACCAAGCGTCTAACCATTCAACCTACCCTTAACTTAAGGGCTTAGACCACTAGGAAGATGGGTCCTCCTGGAAGGGTCGGATCGAGGATGAGTACTGGAAAGGGATGGGTTTTTCGGAATACATCAGAGAAAAAGGGAACCTGAACGGGACCAGGAAAGAAATCGGATCTGCCTGACTGCTGTCATTGAAAAATTCCTTAGGTGGTCATTTCCCTTCTGGCGATCTGGGAACACAACAGAAAACTGCAAAAGATTGGAGTGAGATTCAGGAGCGAGCAAGTAGCACTCCTGAAACCGCGGGTGTAAGGTTGGAGCTGAAGCTTCATAGTCATCACTGCTAGGAACCAGGGCAAGAGATGAAAGGTTGGTGCTAGAACAGAAAGGGTGAAACTAGCTACTTTGTGTGTACTTGCTCCAGCAAGTCATTGCCAAAGCCTGGTTTCTCCAGAGAGGGCCCAATGTCATGTTTCTCTGCTTCCACAGGTTCCACCTCATTCTCCTAAGCACAGGATTTGAGTAACTTCTATAACCCTCAACAGAGCCTACATAGCCTGTCACATAACCCCTCCTCAGAAACAAAAGTGGTGGGGGGCTATTTCCCTTGGCCTGGCAAAGTACAGGAGACAGATATTTCAGATATTCCACTGTCAATAACATCAAGGCTACTTCATCAAGTTTAAGGCCCTCTTTCTCCAGTATTTCATTGTTGCGCCATAAAGTGAATGGGCACAGGGGACACTTTTACAGCTTCTCATCTCTGCTTTTGTTTGTGCCATTCCACCTGCTTGGGATACTCTTGTTCTTTCCTTTTGTATCTCCAAAATTCATCCATAAATAATAGTGCATTCTCAAATAATCAACACTGTGCCAGAGACTGTGCTAAGAAACTTATATGAATTATTATTATTATTTAGTACCAGTTATTGAACCCAGAGGTGCTTAACTACTGAGCAATACCTCCAGCCCGTTTTATGTTTTATTGAGACAGGGTCTTGCTAAGTTCCTTAGGGTCTCCCTAAATTGCTGAAGCTGGTTTTGAACTTGCGATCCTCCTGCCTCTTGAGCTCCCAAATTGCTGGGATTACAGGTGTGCACCACCACATCCAGTTGAATTATTTTATTTAATCCTCACTACCAACACAATTTTATCTCCCCCATTTCACGGGTGGAAAAATTGAGTCACAAAGAAGTTAGTATACATATCTTGAGAATAATAGGAATGGTGTCTTATTTATCTTGTATCTGACAGACACTGTGCAAATACATTTGCTTCTTTTTAGGCATCAGGCAAGAAGAAAAATAAATTTAGCCTCTGCACTCAAATGCAAAAATAAACAAAAAAGATAAAATATGTAAAATGTCACTCCCTATTGGCTGGTTTTCAGTAATCAGAATAATTTCTCTTTTCCTACTGTTAGAAAGCAGTGTTGTTTTCACCTGTATTAACCACAATGTGTTAGTCTTCCTTTTCAAATTTATTTAAATTGTATCAGTTATCAGTCATAATTTGTGTCAAAGCCCTCCAGCCACTAGAAACACATAGCTGTAGTTGAACAATTTGGATTTGTTACTAGTTACAGTGAGGGAGAACACACACCACAGATCCACCTATGACTGAATTGTGCCCCCCACCCCTGTACATATGTTGAAACTCTAACCCCTAGTATCTCAGGATGTGACTGTATTTGGAGACAGAGCTTTTAAAGAAGGGATTAAAGTTAAATAAGGCTGTTATAGTAGACCCCAATCCAACCCCACTAGTGTCCTTAAGAAGAGGAATTTGGATACACAGAGATAGCAGAAGCTCACACTATGAAAAAAAGGACCATGCAAAACATAGCTAGAAGGCCATCGCTTGCAAGCCAAGGAGAGAGAGAGGCCTAAGGAGAAGTCAAACCCTCAAACACCTTGGTCTTGGATGTTTAATCTCCAAAATTGTGAGAAAATAAACTTCTGTCATATAGTTACCCAATCTATGGTATATTGCTATGGCAGCCCAAGCAAACTAATATTATAGGTTAGCATGGGGGATCTCAGTAAAAGGGTGGTAAAAAGGATTTATTATAGGATTTGGGTTTTGGTTGGGTAATTTGAGGAAGTGTCTGAGGAAATGGGGTTTGCTTTATATTGACTGCTGTCAGAAAGCAAGGGCAATTCTACAATTGGGCATCTTAATATATTGAATCTATAGAGATGTCAGACTAAAGTGGGTATAAGGCTTTTGTGGGTGGCATAGTGATTTTGTTTTGTTTGTGCTTCGACAAATCATGAAATAGCCTTGTTTTGTTTCACTTTATCATATTCTCAGGGTGACTTTGTCTGATGTTGATATTTTGTGAAACTGTTTATGTCTAACAGGAGAACAGTATGGCTTACCTGTGAGAGTCAGGTCATCCTTCAGATGTCAGGGACATTTCTCCTTTTTAATTTGTGGCTACTTAACTCCATCCATTAGTGGTGTGGCTATAGACCAGTTACTTTACCTCTCTGTGCCTCAGTTTCCTCATATATAATTGAGGATGTCTATCTCCTTAGACTCATTCTTGGCATATAGGTTATCTTCATTGAATGTGAACTATTATACATGTCTGTCTGCTCCAACAGACCATAATAGCTTGAATTACATATGAATATGGTTATGTATTAGTACTTTTCCCTGTGGTAGACTGTGAGTTCTTTGAGAGCAGGGATATTGGCTATTGTCATAGTAATAATAGCTAACTTCCATTGAGTGCTTTCAATGGGTCTGTCATTAATATTTATTGTTTTTACTCCAAGAAAACTTCTAAACCACATACCTACTTATGGACTAGCTTGGGTGTCCTCCTTCATGATCCCACAGCACTTGTGTTAACCTTAACCATTATACTTAGCGTGCAATATTGACCCTGTATATGTGTCTTCTTCTCTTCTAAACTATTCATGTATGAAGAGAAGAGCAAATACTTTCAACTTTGGTGCCCATGTCTGAGCATAGTGCCCAGTACAATATGAAGCACTAAACATAAAAGCATTAGTTGGTTTTAACCACATTCATTCCAGGTTGAAACTCATATCAGGTCAGTCTTAGCCCCTATCATTCCTTGCCCTGGATTTTGTTTGTTTTACTAAAAAGATAACAGAGGATCTCTTATAGTGTCATCCTACCTGTAAGGCAAGATCTAAAGGAGAGAATCACTGTGAGATGAGAAAAAGTGCCATTTGGGAATAACTGGCCCCTACTACTTAACAGCAAGCAGTAGCATGTCCATTAGGGTGAAGTGGGATAATGAGGGACTATGAGTCAGGACTTAGAATCTTGTGTTTTGATCTTAATTCTTCCATAAACAATTAAATCTGTGATGCTCAGAAAATCACTGAAACTCTCTAAACCTCATTTTTTTCCTGTGGGGGCATGGAGACTATAATCTCTTTATTCACTGGCTAACAGAGCTTGGTAAGAAAATTAAAGAGAGTTCACTGGTATTTCTTTTTAGGGAAAACATTTTAGCCTTCTATTACTTCTATGTTACATACCTAGATGATTCTTAGCCTCTGAAACTGGCATACCAAAATGGCTACAGCTCTTTAGAATGCCAACCAAGGATCATGTGTGTTGTGGTTTTCAATCTACTATATCACCTTCCTAACAGCCCTTCAAACCACTTCTTCCCAGTGAAGGGAGCATAAGAGGTATTGAAACCCTGGAGATGGACCGAGAAAGTCTTTCCATCATACTGACGTGAGACAAAAAGATTTTTTTTGTAGTTGTATAGTTGTAGATGGACAGCATGCCTTTATTTTACTTGTTTCATTTTTTAAAAATGTGGTGCTAAGGATCAAACCCAGTGCCTTCATGCATGCTAGGCAAGTGCTCTGCCGCTGAGCTACAGCCCCAGCCCAGAGATGAAAGATTTTTTTTAACCCAAATTTACATTCTATCTTAGCCCAGAATGATAAAAAGGTGAATGACAAAAGTAACATTATTATGGTTGCTATCATAATAAAATAGTAATAACTACCATATTATTTTTCATATAATACCACTATTGTGCCCAGAAACTATATAGTAATCATAGTAATGGCCTCTGGCTGAGACTTTGTGGTACTTCCTCCTGGTGAATTTCAAAGAATGCACCAAACTCAGAGGGGTCCAGATTTGAGAGGTCAGTGAATTGAAAACAGCATCA